ACTCACTTGGTTGTTCGTGCTGGCATTGGCCAAAAAGGTCCGTCAATGAGCAAAAGCGAATTGGACGATGTGCTTCGATGGGGAACTGAAGAACTTTTCAAGGTTATTTTAGGTTTTAAGTGGACTACTGTTCACTTAAATTTTTCCTTGTAGTTCATTAAAATTCTCTTTTGCACTGCATCATTAAAGCTTTCTCTCAGGAGGATGACGTGCCTGCCGATGGTGAAGGAGGCGAGAAGAAAGCTGCTGAGCAAGAGATTATATGGGATGATGAAGCAGTTGACGCTTTGTTGGATCGAGGTTCTGGTGACGAACCTACTGGAGATGGGGATAAGAAGGAACACTGGACTAACGAGTATCTTTCTTCATTCAAAGTGGCTCAGTATACAACACGTGAGGCCGATGAAGAAGAACAGGAAGATGAAGTGAAACTTTAAGGATCAAAGACATACTTTATTTGGACTGTTATCTGAATTTACTCACAGTGACAATTTTTTTAGGACGACACAGAAGTTATCAAGGAGTCTGCACAGGAAGCTGATCCAGACTACTGGGAAAAGCTTTTGCGGCATCACTACGAACAGGAACAGGAAACACAGGCTCAAAAACTTGGAAAAGGGAAACGAGTTCGCAAACAGGTCAGAATCAGAAAGTCATGTTTTGTCTGAGTGATTTTTTTAGAATCGTGTCAGTTGCTGGGACAGGCCTCTAAAAGATTTTTCTTTGCTACTTCACACGTATAGTTATATTTTAATTATTTGAATGGTTGATGAGGTTCTTCAGGTCAATTACGCCTCAGAAAATATGCAGCAGGATTGGCAACAGATGCAATCAAACAACGACGACTTTTCTTCATCGTATAGTGGTGACAGTGGGAGATCAGACGGAGAGGGAGAAGATGATGAATTCGATTCCACTGGCGACAGAAGGAGACGTCATCGTGAGAGAGGGGATGAGAAGTTACCCCCATTGCTTGCTAGAGTTAGTGGACAGCTGGAGGTAATTGCTTTCACTAGTACATTTTATTCGTTCTTAATTTTCAAGTTGTTGAGATTGTACCAGTTGCGATTTAGCTACCCCTTGATACGGTGTTTAGGTACTTGGATTTAACCCACGGCAAAGGAGAGCATTTTATAATGCTGTGATGCGGTGGGGAATGCCACCACAAGATGCTTATCAGTCTCAGTGGCTTGTGAGAGATCTCAAGGTAGGAGCTCGCAGTGTTTATCATAAGGCATTATATCGAGCATTAAGGTTGATATAGGAAGCATTTCTCATCTTTGCAGGGAAAATCTGAAAGAGCTTTTAAAGCATATACGTCACTATTCATGAGGCATCTTTGTGAACCTGGGGCAGACTCACAGGAGTCTTTCAACGATGGTGTGCCCAGGGAAGGTTTAAATAGACAGCATGTTTTGACGCGTATTGGGATTATGTCCTTAATCCGTAAAAAAGTGCAAGTAAGTTTTTTTTCTTTCGTTCATTGGGTTTCTTGCTAGTGTTACAATGCTTATTAGTGAAATAGATCAAAGTTTAGGCGTGCGCAGCTTTAAAGCGGGAGTTTTATTTTTATGAAAATGATCTCGTTTGTTTAGGAATTTGAAATTTCTAATGGAGAGTGGTCTATGCCAGAAGTGAAATTGCGTTTGGCACAACTTGACCTTGAGAGGGAAGGATCCACCAGTAAGGCAGGTTCTAAAGCATCAAGCCGCAGCGGGACACCAGGAGTGAAGGAGGGTACTCCTGGTGCAAAAGAGGCTAAGGAAGGCACTCCATCTTTAGAGCACAGTGACTCTGGGATTAAAGTAAGTGTTGCTTTTCCGGTTTGTTTTAGGTGTTGATAATTTTTCTTGCCTGTGATGAATGCGCTTTCTATGATTTATTTACTGGTCATACTTGACATAGTTACCAAATATTTAGAAAGATGCTCAGTGTAAGTGTTACGAAGCGTCTAAAAAATTGGTAAAATTAATTGTGTCACTTTTGACTTGTTGTTTAAGCGATGTGACAATAAGTAAAGGCGTGCCATAACATTCGAATGATTATAAAAGGCGAATCTGAGGCCTTTCCAGAGAATTTTTCCTTCTTATATTTGTTTTTAGTAATTTTTTTCAATTGGCCAATTGGCAATATTTTAGCTGGCTACTATGGCAGAGCAGAAAGATGGAGACGGTACTAAAATGGAAGTGGATGAACAAACAAAAGTAGAGACGAAGGAGAAGTCTGAGCCAGAGAAGGAAAAGTTTCCGAGGCCTCCTTTCAAGTTCAATATTGCAGACGGTGGGTTTACAGAACTGCACAGCCTGTGGTTGAACGAAGAGAAAGCAGCAGTGCCGGGAAAGGAATATGAAATATGGCATAGGAGGCACGATTATTGGTTGCTGTCTGGAATAATAAAGTTTGTTTTGCTTTAGACTTTCTGAGTGAGTTACGAAATGACACCTGTGGTGTTCTTTTTTTAATTGACGTTATTGCTTTTTTTAGTTATGGTTACGGAAGGTATCAGGACATTCAGAACGACTCTAGATATGCTATAATTAATGAGCCTTTTCGAGCAGAACAGGGAAAAGGAAATTTCCTTGAAATTAAAAACAAGTTCTTGCAGCGACGTTTTAAGGTGATAAATTTCGCTGTAATGAAGTTTTCCAGTAACTTTTTTTTTGTCTTACACTATACTTCTTTTAGCTTCTGGAGCAGGCTTTGGTTATTGAGGAGCAGCTTAGACGAGCTGCTTATTTGAATTTGACGCAGTCCAATGCCGATGGGACCCAGCAGTTAACAGAGCGGTTTGCAGATATTGAATGTCTTGCAGAAAGCCATCAACATCTTGCTAGAGAGGGTATGCAGGGGAATAAAAATGCAAATGCTGTGTTACATAAGGTTGGTGATTTGAATCATGAGGAACAAAGCTTTTTTTTCTCTTTCATACATTCAACTGGTGTTTTGGAGTGTCAGTTCTTTTTTAAGATCAAATTCTGTAAACAAATATTTATTTTAGGTTCTTAACCAATTAGAAGAATTGCTTTCTGATATGAAAGCAGACGTTTCTCGTCTTCCAGCTACACTTGCACGCTTGCGCCCAGTTACTGAACGTTTGGGAATGACTGAAAGAGCGTAAGTGGCTGTTCTATAAGGCATTTAATTTCTATTCGTTTACTGGCTTTAAACCTCATTTTTGAAGGATTTTGAGTCGCTTAACCACTCGTGACCCGGAGGCTGCTTCTGGCAAGAGCCCGTTGCCTCCACCAGGCCCGTTTGTTACCCCAACGTTGGGTCAGCAACTGTCCGGCATACAACCAAAATTTGCTGCTCTTTCACGACAGTCTGTTGCTGAATCTCGCGAGGAATCAGCAAAAACGGCTGCCGATAATGAGGTCAAGAAGGGTAAGGAATAATTTCTCATTACTGCCGCTGCGGGCACATATTCTGCTTGTTTTTCTTTAGAAGCCGGAGCTGAAAAAACTGAGGAGGTTAAAAAGGAGAAAGAGGATGAGCAAAAAGATGAGCCTATGGATTGTTCTATGAATTCAAGCACATGTGCAAACACCGAAAACGGGGAACAGAAAAGAAGTTCTGACCAGACTTCATTAACTGCAGTGCAGTAAAGAAATAATTGGTTTCGTAAAGTCCTTGTATCTAGTTTCTACGTGTTTTGAAGCCAAAGGTTTTCCGCAGTTTAAGATCTGCTTTTACAGTATTTTTGAGTCAAAAGTTGTTACGTTTGCTGCGGAAGTCGTTGATTTTTGACACCTTTGCGACCTTAATATTCCATTTTGTTTGTATTATGTACAAATTATGGTTTTTTGATGTCTCTTTTAGGAACTCACAAGAAAGGGTTTTCATGCTTTGTAAATTATATTTGCTTCTTTCCTTAATTGTTTAATGCATAGTTGATAAGTCTGGTACCATTTGTTGTATGACTATAAAATTATTGTTGCACGTCTAAGTTGGAATTTTTGAAAATTATTTGTAGTTTAATCTCACCGGTTCTTAATTTAATTTTTATTATTGTTTTGTTTTCATCTTGTTGACGTAGTTTTGAATTGTTTTTTTTTTTTTTTTAAATTACGTGGCGTTCAGTCATCGGGCGAGTTTCGATTGTTGAAGTTATAATTAATCCTGAACAGGAAATTGATTGCTGATTCTCATGCATACTTTTGGGTCTTTCTATTCTCTTTGTTTTTTTTTTCTTTTTCTTTTTGTATATCTTTGTTTGATTAGTGTTTTCTCGTTTTTTTACTGTTTATGATCGAAGTAAACTGTGTTGTACGGCCTCAGGAGCTGGTGAGTGCTCAGAAGTTTGTTTTTTTGGTTCTTATTGTTGCACCATCCTTTTGGCCCTTTTTTTATGTTCCGTTAGCAGCTTTAACTTTTTGTTGTATGGAAGTGGTGAACAGTAGTTAATAATATTGCACGGAAAGTTATGGTGCTTGTTGTTTCTATTATTCTTTCGAAAGGTTTTCTTTTATTTGGTTTGGAAAGGAAACGTGGTGGGGGGAATTGTGGTGCTGTGTACATCTGTTGAGGCTGGTGTTCCCATCGTGCGATTTTGAAAAAATGGTTTGGGATTAGCATATTTTTGTTGTTGGGGGGCGGCTAAATGCAGTTTTCTTTAGAGTCAGGTCAGTGACTGTGTAGTGGATGAAAGTTTCAAAAGCAGTTTCGATTTGGACGAGTGAGTGAGTGTGTCCTGTCGACCATTTTCCATGGGTTTTCGACTAATTTTGGACAGGTAGTTCGGGGAGAACTCGTTTTGTTGTGTCGGAGACAGTGAATTAGAAATTTACGGTGGTTCGGATGTGATGGGTAGAGTTCGTTTTTTGCGCGGTTCTGTATGTTGGTTTTTGCTCTTGAAGTTTGTAGCAGCGGTGACAACATGAATCTGCTTATCCCCAATCTCCAATCACATTCCAAATTGTTGATTAAGTTTGTGAGGGTGATATAGTGTCATTTCACTGCTTTTCCGGTTGGCTTTTTAGTGTCATTGAAACTTTTGGAGGTAAAACGAGAACAGACGCATGGAGAACATAAGGATCGAAGGTCTCGTGGTTATTAAAGGTTTTTTTTTGTTCTTCTTCGCTTGCAATAGGGGTTGCTTTGGGTGATTTGATATGGCAGTTCGAAGTTTAAAGGTATATATTTGGGATTGATGTTGACATGAATATGTTAAAATATTTGACGAGCACCTTTCTCATGGTGTAAAAATAAGGTTTTTATTCGTTGAAAAAACTCAGAAATCCGATATTGAGGGAAATTATGTGAGTGCCGTTTTATCAGGGTTGAAAAAACGTTTGCATACAATAACAGAATGCAAACTCAGAAATAAAAATATTTTTTTGGTGGTAGACTTTAACTACATTCTTGGGCTTTATATTGTGCTTTTTTCAATAACAACTGACTCAATCATTATTTCCTAATCTTTATAATTTTTTCTAATTTTTCATTGAGATTTATGAAGGTTTGTTGCCGGTTTGTTGACACTATAGCTGTAGCTGTATTGCTTTTTGGTGTAGTCAGGTTTACAGTTAAACTATATCTTATGCTCGGAAGTATCATCATTAAGGGGAGTTTTAAGCCGTGAATATAGTTTAAGATTTGGAGGTCAGTGCAGTAGGAAATCCTTCGTAATCTTTTGAAACTTTTATTTGCATTAAGCAGTATTAGGTTGTTTTGTCTCCTTTAATTGATGGAAATATTAATTTCAGATAGTTTTTGTTGTGATGGAGAAATGTTGCTGGTAAGCCTAGCGGTACAAGCTGCGAGAAAGCGATTATTTCCTGAAGTGCATTTTGTGCTCTTTGATACTAACAAGGTGTTGTTTTGTAAGAGATATCAGCAACTTGAAAATTCTGGAGTGATAGTGAATGAGGCGGAATCTCTTCAAGATTTTTTAAATACCTCCTGTTATCACCCGAAGACGCTTACTCCTTCAGCCTTCTTTATCGATACAGTTACTGGATTTTTACGAGATGGCGCTTTTGACAAAACTCTTTCCATGCTAAAGCGCTTGACCAGTAGGTTTACAGATTACTTACGGCAATTCTGAATCAATGAGACAGTGATGTAATGAGAGACTTATTTGTAGAAAAAAATCCCGTGGTTACTCGAATATATGACGAATCTCTTCCAAAACTGCAACAAAATCGGATGAAGTCGGTAGCCGACATGTTTATTGAATTAGTTCCTCTAGAAAATGGTTCTGCCCTTTGCAGGTTTTCTTATTACAAGAAGACTGGAAAATGGGTTGTTAAGGTTTATGATTCTTGTTTGTAGTTATCATTGCAATATTTTCATTAATATTAGCATTGCAGTCATTTGTTTTATTTATGTAGCTTTGACCAATGGACATCAAAACGCTTGAATATGTTCACTGAAGTAATTTAATGTGATAGTTTTACCATTGGTAAAGTGGGTTTCAGAAGCAGACTTTTACAATTGATGATGAACTGACGATTAATGCATCGAATTATCGGGAAGACAGAGTTTTCAATGATGTAGCTGATAGTGTAAACGATGACGTATCATGGGGAGTTCTTGAATCTTCTTTTGATTTAGGACTGAATTTGTCAGAAAGTGAGAGGAAAGCGAAAGACTCGCTTATTTTACCTCATTTTTCAGCTCAGAAAGAAGAAAGTGAGATATTTTTTAATCTTTAAAGTACATTTTATTGTTTAAAAATTGGAGCTTGGACATTAAATTTTATTTGTGGATTTTTATTGGTTTTTATTTCGCTTTTCGTTAGAACCTTTTTGTCTAGAAATTGTTATAGTAATTGGGAGTATGATCAGTCAAATGTCAAAATAATTTTCTTAAAGCAGCGTTTTATTATTTTGAGGTCTTGATATCAGTGCGAGTGGAGAGAAGACGGTGCGGGTTGGGGGCCGAATTATTTATATTCCAGACGAAGCGGATGATTTGGATGATAGCGATCCTGATGACGACCTTCAAATTTAGGTTATTTTTACCAAGAACGTTGTTTCGTTTTAGTTTTTTAAAATAAATGGATTTTAAGACATTTAAGCATAGTATAATTGTTGATTTATTTGTTTGCATATTGATGTTAATTAGCAGCTATTTCAAGACTTGTTTTTGACAGGTTTTGAGCGTAGCAGGATAATTGTAGACGTAGATTACGTGGTCATATTCTAGGAACTAAGGCTAGCTTTAGAGCGAAAGAGTAGAGACGCCTTATAATGAGACATTCAGTATTCGAAACAGAAATAGGTCCACAGTATTTGAAAAATGAGTGCGTAACAGCACTGTGATTGAGCATCTGTGATAGTTTTTAAGCTTGGATTGCGTGGAAACCGTGAGACATTTTCTTCCAAATTTTATTGCTAGGCTTTCTAGACGGTCTTTCAAATTCATCAGCGTGGGTTTCATAGCATTTCAGTTTGCACGTATGTCTGCTGCTGCTGTTCAACATTTTTGTTTAAGAGTGCATTGATCTAGATGTGATCTCTTTGCTTTTTTATGGAAATTCGTCTTTTCTTATTATTTTCCTTTTCATTCTTAGTCCTGAAGATGTTTATCTTTCATGCAAAAATTCACTTTGTTTTTTCTTTTTGAAGTAAAGGTTGTTTTCTAGTTAATAAGTATTTAATTGAGATTTTTCAACAAATAGTTCTTCCACATTAGTTGTCAGATTAGTAAGTAGTCTGAAAAAGGTGTTTCTTTATTGCGCTTTATAATGAGTTTTAGAAAAAATAATTCCAACACGGTGTATTTTCGGCGATAGTTCGGTCGGTAGATGATAATTCAAGTGCGGAGAATGTGCTATGTAAAATGATTTTTTACTTTCGTATGAGAAAGATAAGTAAAAATGAAGTTGCTGAGCAGTATCTTCAGTAGCTCTTTGCTTGACTGGACAGCACCATTCTGCTTTTTAGATATTTCCCAGATCACGAAGTTTTTTCTTTTAAAAAGACTACTTCTGTAAATTTTGAAACAAAACTTTTGGCCTTATAAATCTTTTCTGCTTTTTACAATCAGTGGATCCATGCTTTTTTTGTAAAATCCTTTCAAGAGCAGGAAATCAAGAGTCTTTTGTTCATTTAGTCACACACCAGCATCCGCGTTCTTTCAGTTTGTTGATTCCAGCCAGTTATGAAGATGTCGTGAACATTAGTGGAAATTTGTCTATTTTGAATTGCAACTATTCCAGAACCACTAGATTTTTGAAATTTGGGCGGCAGTTAATTAATCGCACAAAAGGTTACTTTTATTAAGGGGTTGAGTGGGAGAGGTAATTTGATATTGTAATTAGAAAGCCAAAACAATAAATACCACAGGTGTTTGGGCGTAGTTAAAGCTGTACCAGTCAAAATGGTCTACTTGGAACTTTTTTTCATTGTTATATTATTATCGTCCTGCAAAACAAAAGTGAGCAAGACTTTGCTGCTTTGCGTAAGGCTGAACAAGAGTGGCAATGAGGTGTTGGGGGATCGTTAGGCTGCGGTGAAAGGAAGTAAGCAATAAAGCGATTTTTTGTCAGGTTTTTTAGAATGGGAAATAAAAGCAAAAGTGCCTATTTTTCGGCTAATTGCTCATTTCACTTATTAGCTACTTCAATATATTGCCGTCTGAATGGAAGTCGAAAAAACGGCAGCCCTAGGCGAAATATTAAATTGAAAAGAACTTTGTTATAGCGAATAGAAGTAGGTAGACATAAAAAAATATATTTCTTTCGTTGTATATGGCTACAAATATACAGATACCGTAAGAAAAATTGGAACAGCTTTTTATTCCATAATCCTGACGTAACTGCCAGACAGTTGAGAATATTTAGAGGTTTAAAGGTTTAAGAAGTGGTCTTGAACAAAAGAGAAATGAAGGAGATACATATTTTGATTGAAAGATATGTCTAACAAAATGTCACTTGAGTGCTAGCAATCATGCTTATTTTCTAAATTTAGACTTCGACTTAAATTTATCAGTTTGCAGTCGCACAAGAAACAAAAAGAAACATCATTGTTGATAAACCGCGAAACACCTTTGATTGCATTATAAGAAGCTTAGTATAAAAACAATCGACTTGTGCATATCATTACTAGCCTAAAGTTAGGAAGTTACTAAGTAATTTAGGAAGTTGGCATGAAGAAATTACTACATAATTTTATAGTGGTCAATGAACTTCCTTCCGTTTTCGAGTGGAATCAGATGTCGCGATCATCAGCAATTGAAAAAAAAAAGAAAAAAAAAACAATAAGCTCGGCTTGTTGATGGTTCAGTAACTCAGCATGAATCAACATGATTACATTGCACTGAACCTAATACCAGATTTTTTTAGAGGAGTTGCTTTGGAGGATGATAACAAGTTAATTATAAGATCAAACATTTGTCTGTGTTTGTTCAACTAAAAAAAAAAAAGAAAAAACTAGCTGCTTTTATCCGTAGGTTTTCTAAGGTTATTGTAGGCTCCCTGCCCACTTGAATTAGTGGTTGTGCTCTCTGTGGGGTTGGATTCAACTTCTTCTTCTTCTGGAACGATTGTTAACTGCTCTTGGGACGCCGTTGGCAGTAATGGTATTACGGGATGTCTAACTGGTGATCTTGGAGACGTTGGACTTGCTAAAAAACAAAAAATTTAAGCTGTCCATATATGAAAATATTTTAGTTTATTGAAACTGATATCATCAACCAAAAAATCCTGATTTGCAAAAAAATCCTACTGTTTTAGATGATGAGAGAAGGTTCAACAAAGATTCTGACCAGATACATATATTTGATCGGCCACTTTTTGAAGTCAATAGAGGCTATGCAATATTAGTAGTGAATCAGAATTATCAGTGCTTTTGATAACTAACAGAGAGGGAAGTAAAATGGATTCACAACACATGGAAAGATTATTCTTTGTACACAATTAATTCGTTACTGCAAATAAATGCATATTTGATTCTCACTTCCTGATTCAGTTCAAGTATATACAAATTTAGTCCTGCCAAGGAAAATTTGAAAAGGTTGAAAAGTCAGTGATGCGGTGCAAAAAAGGCAGTAATATGTGTTTTTGGCGGATTTGTTTGCTTTTTACACTTGTCTTCACGTGAAGTTTTATTTTAATCAGTTTTTTTTCAAAAACTTATTTTGGCTTAACAGATCGGATTAACAGATAAGTTGCTTTCATTCCAATTAATTTTTTGTGGAAAAAATGATGTGGTGTTTAACGAAAAGCGTGTTGCCGCTCAAAATTCTTTTTACCTTCACTTCCGGACACACTGACTTGTACTTTCACCTAACCGACATCTGCTTTTACCGAAGAATATAATGAAAACAGAGAAGCAGCCATAAGTGTGCTTTGCATAGAAGATTAGGTCAGAATTGTTGTACAGAACGAGAATCGAGTGCTTTCACGGTGTCTGTACAAAAAAAGGACTTTCGAACAGGATTCTTAAATCTGAGAATCAGATTGAAGATGGAACATTCGCTGTAAGAAAAACGGAAGTATGTTGGAAGACTCACTTTTCTATATCGTGTACTTTTTTCTTCCAGGTAATCACTTCATAAGGTTAAGGGGCCCTTATTTGAAGTAATATGGTAGAACTCAACGGCAATATGCTCAACTTTTCAATAATTCTTTTGAAAACATACATATTCATTGACAATTATGAAGATTGAAGCAGAAAACGACTGCTGCAAATAAGAATGAGGATACTAAAGACAAAAGACAGAAGTTCTAAAAGTCTAGTGGCTGCTTCTCTGACATTAACGAACAGAACTACGTTTCACTGACAGGGTTCTCTGAATGCAGTTTTATGCAGACGTTAGGAAAACAACCACTTTTCTCTAAGAATGAAGCTTTCGTTGAACGTCCCCCACGTCGTTACAAAAACGTCATTGATCAGTATACATTTCAAGTCTTCCTTTTAATATATTTTCTTCTTGAACTTCATCACTGATCTTCAAAACTGTATTCTTAAAGCAAAAAAAACTTCACTTCTCAAAATCCTGTAACCTTGCACATTTATAGTTTCTATGACCGTCAGAAGCAATGGTAAACGGTAGCAAACTGATCTCTTTAGCGAATGAACTCCTGTTTGACAGCAGATAACGAAAAAGTTACAACAGTATTACAAAGAAAACCGTATTGAAGACCTACAGTTAAACTTTCTTTACCAACTCTTTGTCATGGTTACTTCAAGAACTACGATGCGATAGAGGAAGAGAGGGACTTTAAAGGGTGCTAAAAGACTGTTGCTCTGCACAAATGAGGTAGGAAAAATTGAGAAAATGGAAGCGAGAGACAATTGGCGTTTAGGTTTTGCAGATTTCCATGGTTTATGTAATGGAGGGAGAAAAAAAGGAAATAAAAATTGAAGAAAAAAAATTTAAAAAAAACTGGTGAATTAAACTGTGGTGAAAATTACTTGGTGCCGAGCCAGTGGCATCCGTATAACCGCTTTCATTTGCAAGTTCATTTAAGATATCCACAGAACTATTTATTCCCCAAACACCATCTGCTGGACTTTCCAATACCTGCTCACTGCTACCAGCAGTAGTATTTGAGGTAGTCCGAAGTCGTCTACTCATTTTTATTGATTTATTCAAATTAATTGACGGTTCTCTGTAACTGTAGAACTAAGAAGACTGAATGCATGCTGTTATACAAAGTCAAGTAATTATTATTAGTACTTTTTTTTTAAATATAGGTTTAACAGTGATATTTATCCATCAATCCCACACGAAAACTACCTTGAAAATTGTCGTTTTACTTTCTGTATGATACTTGGTCGATGAATTGACCCTCCATGACCGGCATTTTTGCTACCCGTTAAACTTGCGCCACGAGATATTGGTACCAGCTTAGCCTTATCATCAATAACTGCTTCCTCAACACATGACTCGGCATCATTGCTATGCTGTTGATCCACATGTGGCATCATTACAATTTCGTCAACACTTGGCGGTAATCTAAATTTAAGCAAAATGCTGCACTGAGATAGGACAAAAAATTTTCTTCTCAGTCAGATGGTTAGTGGTGTAAAAAGGGAAATATACTGACAGTAACGAAAGATCAAAATACTGTTAGGCTTACTCTACGCCTGCAACCGAACCAGACAACGGGAATATGGGTTTTGTTGCTGATTCGGCAGAATATAAAAGTTCTACGGAGGATTGCTGCTGCTCCGGAACGACACCATAAGCATTGTCAACAATCATATGGCCAACCTACACTTTTTTCAGAAGACTAGATTTATTAATGTTACGAGTGAAACTGTTGGTGAAGGAGTTTGTTTAACTAAAAAACTATATCCGATATGTTAACAACAAAAGTAGCCGATTGTAAAAACAAGATTTAGTTTATCGAAATTTACGGGAGCAAAAAAGAACTGATAGGATTTTAGCAAATTTTATAGAGTTAAACTTATTTGAAAAATTTACCGCAAGATTTCTGTCAATTAAATAGTTACACTCAAAATCGTCATCATCCTCGCCCAACGGGTTCATCAAACTCTCAGCAACTTTCATCCACCCAACATAGAAGATATACTGCAGAGCTGTCATTATGAATGGTACTACAGGATATGCCTTTAAAAAAATTTCTTTCATATTTACGTATTGATCTGGATGATTTTGGCAAGGTACATAAGCAGAACTTGTTAGTTTACATTCAAAAATTATATTCATTTGCTTACAGGACTTTCGGCTGCCGGTGAACCACCACCAATTAGGACAGACTGTCGAGCAACTAGGCATAGCATAAAATAAGATCGTACAGCTAGGAAAACAACCTAGATAAATCGTGTGATTGTTGAAAAGTAATGCATTTGATGTGGAAAAAAAGCACTTAAACAAGCTAATAATTACTTGTGGATAGACAAGCGGTATAGGAACCCAGTCATAATTGCAAAGTCGTCCAAGACCCGAACGAAACTGTCTTATTTGCTGAAAAACTGCAGCCATGAACTTCGTTACAGGTTTACCTGATAAACAATGGGAAGTAAAGTTTATAGCTGAAAGTATGGGAAGAACGGAGGAAATTATAACTGAAAAGTCTACAGTTGGTGATCGTATGTATTATTAAATATTCAAACCTCAATAATATTATTCAGCATTACATCACTCATAATTTTGCCACTCATACGAGCCTCGTACAAGAGCGAATAACACCAAAGAATGGGAACCCAATATTTACTATAATCATTACCCAGTTGATTAAACTGTTCCATTTCCACTTCAGTTATCAGACCTATATGAATAGATATTGTTTAGCAAGCCTAAAATTGTTGCACAGATGCTAAATGCAAATAAAATGTATTGTTTTGTGGTCTTAAAAGTGTTATTAACGAATGTGCTGAAACAGGACAATTAAAAGTGATAGATGACGAAAACAAGAAGAAAGATTGCTATTTAATTGATTTTAATTTTTTTCTTTTTTTGAAAGAGTTACCTGTAGCCACTAATGTTTCCATAGTTGGAAATCGTTTTCGAACCTGTATACTAATATCTCGAAAAATTAGTGTTTGCGTTAGCACCATATAACGTACAATATTTCGTCGTAAAATACGACTTTTCTCCATATTAGCTTTACTTTTATCGTTACCTTCTCGAACATATGTTGCAACATATAGTGCTGGACTAAAATTGAAGCAAATAAATTGCACCAAAAGCAGTTTTTTTTATCAGAATTCAATTATCAAGAATAATTTAGTTTTTGCAAACTTGCAAATTTGACAGGTTTTTATGAGTCTAATAACAATTAGCAACAAAAATAGAAAGAAAAAATATAAGTAATTTTTCAGGGAAAATGATTACGAAAAATTAATGGTAAGACAAGTAAATAAATAATGAATAAAAAGTAGTAGACCCCCTTCAAACTATGGTTTTTTTTCCCAACAGCTTGTCAAAATCTATAAATTTAGCTTATCGTTGAATGATCAAAGAAAAGGCGATAATAATAATAACAATGAAAATAAAACAAAATTTTTTGCAGTTATTTGAAAACTAAATGCAGTCGACAATGCCACTAAAATTTTTGAGTAAATAATTAATTTTGAGAAAAAAAAAGATAAGAAACTTATTATGAATATTAATCAACAGTAATTTAATTAACAGATAAATTACGTGCAACAAAAAAAAGCGAATATTAACAATAAGCACACAAAAAAAACTTAAAAAATACTATTAATTTTATTGTTTTAAAGCTAAAGATATAAAACTGAGGAAAATGATCTCTGAAATAAATTACTTATCAATCCAACCGATATTGTTAAAAATATCATTCCATCGTCCAACAATAACTGTTACAAAAAAACCAAGCATAAATGTTAGTGGAATATAATCCATTCGTTGGTCAAAAAGTGCTGCATAATTATCCCATATGCTGCAAATAAATATATATCAATTAGTCAAAAAAAGAAAACAGTTTTTTTTTTAATGATTCATTTTAATTTATTATTAGCGTTTTTTCTTAAATTCTTTTTGTTCTTTCAGAAAAAAAAAGAAATTTTATCACGAAAATATACCATTTACTATATTGATGACTAATATCCGATGAACTCTCTGTGTATGTGGGTATGTGTCTCTATGTCCCTATCTTTTGGTAAATTTGTAAAGAAGTTTTAGAAGAAAGTAGAATATAGAAAAAATGAAGATGAAAAGTTGCCTGAAAATGTACCAACTTCCTGGTATTCTCGGAAAGTAAATTTGGTGTTCGATAGACAACAGTGATTGCAGCAAAAGCTGCCGTAAACAGTATCAGCTCTCGGATAACCTGTTTCCAGATGCTACCACGCCATCGAAACTGTAGTTTTAAAAAACCGCTAAATGCTGTTGTTTTAATGATATCAATATTGTAAGAGACAGTCATCCTTTTTTCCTTTCCGTCTACCTTTCCCCTGCCTTTTTCTGTCTGAAAAAAAAGGACAAAAACAATAAGAAAAAAAGCAAAAAAGAATGAAAAACCATTTTAAAAAACGATGAAGAAAATTATTGATGAAACAACAAAAAAAAAACGCGAAGAAAATAAAAAAAGAACATAGTTTTTAAATATGACAAATTAAAGCAAAAAAAAAAAAAAAAAA